CAATTTTAGTTAGATCCATAATCCTATTCATTAATCATTATAGATGTGTAGAATTTACAATGACCAAGAAAAACAATTTCCAAAACAATTATACTTGAAAAAATATAAAGATAATATAATCTTTCATATGTCTAAAAATAACCGAGCAAAATGAAAGTCTTGACTTTTGAGAAAAGACTCATGAACATTTTCATCAAAATGGCTATTTTTCCTCTTCTAAAGATTTACTTAAGAAATACTAATGCCAATATGCTGTTGAATTATGCTGCTGAATTTAAGATTTTTAAAATCTTAAAAATTAGCCAGGAAAGGTGGCATGAGTATGTAGTCCTAGCTACTTGGAAGACTGGGGTGAGAGTAGTGCTTGAGTCTAGGAGTTCAAGGTTACAACAATCTATGATCATGCCACTGCACTATAGCCTGGGTGACAGAGCAAGACCTTTCCTCCTAAAAAATAACATAAAAAAAAAAAAAAGAGTCCAGGTGCAGTGGCTCACACCTGTAATTCCAGTACTTTGGAAGGCCGAGGAGGAAAGATTGCTTGAGGCCAGGAGTTTGAGTTCAGCCTGGGCAACATAGTGAGACCCTATCTCCACAAAAAATAAGAAAAATTAGCTGGGTATGGTGGTGAGCACCTGTAGTCCCAGCTACTTGGGAGGCTGGGGCAGGAAGATTGCTTGAGCCCAGGAGTTCAAGGTTACAGTGAGCTGTGACTGTGTCACTGTACTCTAGCCTGGGAGATGGTGTGAGACCCTGTCTCTATTAAAAAATTAAAAGATACATATAGAATAGTTCCCCCTTATTCACAGTGAATACATTCTCAGAACCTCAGTGGATACCTGAAACTATGAATAGTACTGAACCCCATATATAATGCTTTTTATTATATGTAGATACCTATGATAAAGTTTAATTTATAAATTAAAATAGAATAATTATAACACTACGGTGTAATAAAAGTTACGTGAATGTGCTCATTTGCACTCTCCCTCTCTCTGAAAAAAATCTTATTGCACTGTGCTTACCTATTTTTGGACCATGGTTAGAAACTACAGAAAGGTAACTGAAACTGCAGAAAGCAATACCTCGGATAAGGGGATGACTGTACTGGAAAATATATAGATTTCTGAAGCAATACAACAAAAAAGTGCCAGTGGATGCCTCCATTAACAAAGAAGTAGAATTGTGGAAGGCAAATGGAGTGACTTTTTTTTTCCCTTTTGCATTGTTTGAACTTTACCATCAGCATGCATTATTATAATACAAAGTTTAATAATATTTTAAATATTCCTGTGTTAGAAATTTTGTTTACTAACCTCCAGAGCTCTCTTATAGTCACCCAGGTGAAAAGCACAGTATCCAATCCACAAATTAGTATCTTCTTCTTGCTCCCCAACATGACGTTTGAACTTCAAGTTGAAAATTCATGGGGGAAAAAAATGAAGTACTTTGAATAGTAAACTCTCTGTTTTAAAAAAAATGCTATGTTAAGCTACTGGTGAATAATAGACGATATAAGAATATAAACAAGAAAATACACAGTTTAATTAAACATTTACCTCTAGGACTTAGTACAATTATCTTCCAATTGTCACAGAAATTTATATTTTCAAGTATTTCACGTTTGTTCTTCTGTATTTACTAATACCTTTCTCAAGAAAGTATGTGAGTTAACAATTCTGGATGATATGTAAGGAATAGAAGAATCTTGTGAAATATTTAAAGCCAAATAACTGAAGTTTAGAGAGGTCAAATAATGAACTCAAGGCTACACAACCAGTACCTCTGGTGACAGAGACTTAAAGTAATATCTGACTCCAAAGCCCATGTTCTCATCCTGCATGCTCTACTGCATTCAACCTCACACTTCAATCATGTCTCATTAAGACTTATATATTTATTAATAGGTTATAACTTTTCATTGTGGACAAACCAGTAAATATTTCTATTATTCTTGCATAGGCTAGCTTACCAGGACTTCAAAAGTTAAGGATGTTCAGAAGACTGGCCACATTTATGTCCATTATGAACAAATATTTATGAATTCCTCAGTCCTACTTTGGAGGAAAGGACTGAGACTTTAAAGGAACATTCTGAATTACTATTGCAAAAGATGAGATTTGTTTCACTGTATACGGTAATAAATCAAATAGTGAGCCAATATGTATTTATAGAGCATCACTACAGAACTTTAGGTACCTTAGTCATTATAAGATGAAGACATCCTTTGATACTTGTCTGGAATAAGAATTTAATCCTGTATCTAACTACACAACATTAGAAGTCCTCCTCTCACCAAATGCTGTGAATTTGAGTATAGTGTCTTAAGTATGGAGAAATTCTTATTTGAGGTCTCTTTGAATTTGCCCCAGGAATTCCCTGGAGCCACAGGAGAGCTCATGAGATTTTCTCACTCTATTCCCACGCAGCATGGTACTCCCACTAGCTACCTAAGAAAGCAAGCATAGAACAGAGCCTTCCTGACAATGTAAAGCCAGTCTTGGGTTATGCAATAAGGAAAATGTGGTCGTTGTCTTAAAGAAAAGAGAGGAAAAGAATAGACTGACATAATCCTAGCACTCTGGGAGGCCGAGGCAGGCGGATTGTTCAAGCTTAGGAGTTTGAAACCAGTCTGAGCAAGAGTGAGACCCTGTCTCTACTAAAAATAGAAAGAAATTAATTGGCCAACTAAAAATATATATAGAAAAAATTAGCCGGGCATGGTGACGCATGCCTATAGTTCTAGCTGGTCGGGAGGCTGAGACAGAAGAATTGCTTGAGCCCAGGAGTTTGAGGTTGCTGTGATCTAGGCTGAGGCCACGGCACTCTAGCCTGGGCAACACAGTGAGACTGTATCTCAAAAAACAAAAAACAAAACAAAAAAGCAGAACAGCAGAGGCGGGCGTATTGCTCGAGGTCAGGAGCTCGAAACCAGCCTGAGCAAGAGCGAGACCCCGTCTCTACCATAAATAGAAAGAAATTAATTGGCCAACTAATATATATATATAGAAAAAATTAGCCGGGCATGGTGACGCATGCCTATAGTTCTAGCTGGTCGGGAGGCTGAGACAGAAGAATTGCTTGAGCCCAGGAGTTTGAGGTTGCTGTGAGCTAGGCTGACGCCACGGCACTCACTCTAGCCTGGGCAACAAAGTGAGACTCTGTCTCAAAAAAAAAAAACAAAAAAAAAACAGAATAGACTGACAAAAAATAGACATATATATAGGCACTCAGTCCACTGATTTCCACAGCTAGAAAGCCCTTCCAAGTCAAATCCTCTACTGTAAAAAGGACACCAAAAAAACTAAACAATGTGCTCAGTACCAAAGCACTAGTAAGAAACATACATGGAAGACTGAAAAATATATGTAATGTTAATTAAAATAATTATTGTTAATAGATTTAGAGTAATATGAATACAGTAGCATTTTGGAGAAATGACTGTGGCACAACACAACCAGACCATGCTGTCAAAACTCTTCATTTTTTGGTATACCCCTTTACCCTTCTATAACATGTGCTTTCCACAAAGCAGTTTCTCAAAATACAGTCTGTTTGGACCATCTATATCAGAATCACTAAAAGTACTTACCTAAAATGCAGATTCCTGAGCAATATTGCAGACCTAAAGAATCACCAGGAATATACATCTTAGTAAGTACCCTAGATAATTCCAATGCATATTAAAAGGTGAGAACTATTGCCATAAAGATTTGAAATACTTTCTGGGGATACAATATTTTCAACAATAAGCATGGTGGAATTATTTAAATTTGATCAAAATTGTATAACATATAATAGGAATAAAGCATACATAAATTGGTCAGGGGTTGGGATAAACAATGTGTGAACTGACACCATATTAAATATCCCTCAATATCTGCAGGTTATATTTACTATCAATGGGACTAGACATAATCAAAAGTATCCCTTACGAAATACGTTTATTTTTTTTAATTCATCTGGAATCTGCATCTGACTAGATTTTTAGGCAATTCCTTGAAGAAGCCCCAGAATGCACCCACCTGTTCCAACAGCATAGCAACAAGCATTCACCCAAGCATTCATCTATCGTCTGGTATTCACCTTCTATGAAGTAACCTTCTTTGGACATTACCTCCAATAGGGTAATAGCTCCAGTGAAATCTCTTTGTGAAAGTAGCTCCTCTAGTTTTGGAATCTTCCTACCTTTCTTCTTTCTTTTGTCAGTGTGCTGCATGTCCCCGCCTACAGCAGGTTTGGCCCTTGAAAGCATCTGTGAAAGAAACGACAAAGACAGCTGTATAGTCCAATTTCCATTACCAGTTTTAAGCCAAGAGTGACGGCTCCACGATTTACATGTCAAATCCTTAACAACGAACCCCAGGGAAGCCTATCAAAACTCTTTTTGTGAGACATTTTACTAAAAGGGTCATCACCCTGTAATTGACATGAACAAAGGAGCTACTCTCAACTTCTCCAGTTCCACGGGAGATGCTTTCGCACAGCTTTTGTCTTCTCAGCCTCCCCTCGCTCTACTTTCTATCGCACGCTCAGCGCAGGTGTGTGGAAACAGAGAAGTATGAAGGAAGAGGTATTTACAGTTGCATCCCTGTCTCCTGAGGGAACTCGGAGAAGAGGACAGGAGAATCACCCGCTGCTGACACACCTAGACTTTACCCAGACATGTGCTGGGAACCTCCAATCGCCAGTCCCAGGATCTACTCAAAATTCTCCCTCACTATTCAGAGCTACTAACCATCTTGCTGCTGGTCCTTTGAGCCCCCTCCACAGACAGACAGCAAAGGCCGCGCCTCAGCGCGTCGCCGAATCCACACAGCACGCTCTGTCTCCACGGCAACCCCGCGGGAAGACTGGTCCTTCCGGGAGAAGAGTTCGTCGAAGAACCAATGCCCTCTGCTTCTTGGTTCCGTTCTGCTTCCGCCACGGAAGAGTAAAAGCTCCTCTCTTGAGAAAAATTCGTCTTTCTCTGCGCTGAGAGCGAAAGTTTTTGGTTGGTTTCTATGAGTTTCCTTTAGGAAAAGACTAATTAGAATGGCATTGTTTTTCAAATGTACGTTTCCTAGGTGATTTTCAAGGACCACTTCCGTTTTGCCCCGCGTTGGGCTCCCTAGAAACGCCCGGTGCTGTCTGGCACAGGATCTTGGCCTCCAGCTGGTGCGGAAAGCTTAGAAAATTTCTGCTGAACCGAAGGAGTTGACATTTGGAGGCAGGAGTGCGCCAAAATATACTTGATTATTTCCACAGACACACCTACACACAGTAAGGAACTATAATAAATATTGTTCATTGGAAGACTTAATTTATCTTACTCCTCAACCCAGTTAATATGGCTGCAAGGGCCATAAAAATCACAGAATTATGGAATGTTAGAGCGAAGGGGACCTTAGAGGATATCCAGTCAAGCCCTTAGAACAGAGTAAAGATTAATCTAGAAGAAAGAGACAGATTAATCTTATTGATTAATAATAACTTGGGTGAAGTCAGGTAATTCGCCCCAAGTGTGTGTAGGTAATCATGGTATAGTTGAATTATATTACACAAAAAAAGCTGGTTGAATGGATGCGAGGCAAAGCTGGAACTTGCAACTTCATTGCAGTTGCAATAGAGCAGTAGTTTCTGAGTATCTGTAAAAAACAATCCGGGTTATGAGGATAGCTGTATGATTATATAAATTTATTAAAAAGCATTGAATTGTACACTTAAAAGAGTTGGATTATATGTAAATTGCATCTCACTAAATCTTGTTTGTTTTAAAGATAATCTAGCTCCTAGCTCAGATAATCTGGAGTCTCTTGTTTCTTTAATTTAGCCCTGATGCACAGTGATACTGACTCCAGGTCCTTAGAAACCACTGTGGAAATCATGTCTCTGTCATGCATCAGGGCATGAGTTGCTGAGGGAATGCCAAGATGTTATGAAGTTTTGGCATTTCTTGCTAGTGTGGATTTTCCTTAAGGAAAAAAAAAATCATAAAAAAAGAACTCTCCATACTCTGCTGCAGAACCACAGTAATTATTCATCAGCTCTATTTGAATGCTGTTAGTTTTTTTCCTTCTCTCATTCACTAGGTTCACGGATACTCTACCTTATTATAAAAAATTTTTTAAAACAGTGATTGCTCCTTTTGAAAAAAAGAATATTTTAAAAACCAAATTTTATTGTACTCCCCCTTTAGTGAGCTATATGGACTCATAGGGAGATGATTATTGTTGTAAGCAAGAACAATAATGACTCCTTGATTAAGCATTTGAAAATATATTCCTTAAAGAAATACATTTTTCAAGCTGGGTGTGGTGGTGTGTGCCTATAGTACCAGCCACTCTCGAGGCTAAGGCAGGAAGTCCAGGATTTTGAGGCTATAGTACACTATGATTGTGCCTGTGAATAGCCACTGCACTCCAGCCTGGGCAACATAGTAAGATCTTCTCTCTCAAAAAAAAAGAAAGAAAGAGATACATTTTCAACTATTTTAAAATACTGTACTTCCTCTTATTACAAAAGTACTTCATATTAACTGTGGAAATTTTGGACGATACTAAGAATTAAAATCTGAGAATTAAAATGAAGAAAATGTAAATTATCTGTACATTTATAACTAAGAAAAAACACCTATTAACATTTTGGTTCTCTTTATAAAGTGATTTAACAAGTACTAAAAGGTAATATGTTGTGGCTGAACTACTAATAAGTTGGCAGACCTAGAAACCTATAGGTGATAATTGTTGAAGCTATGTGATGAGTACTTGAGAATTTATTATATCATTCTATTTTTGCATAGAAATTTTCCATAATCTAAAATTTTTAAAAAGAGAAATGTATTTAAAAGTCACAAATCTCCTTTATAGCCAAATTTTGACTGAAATGAGTTAAAGACATGGGAGTAGATATTTATTTCAATATAATAGGTGGCTTGCATTTATACCAGTTAAAATTAAATGGGGCCAGGCTCAGTAGCTCATACCTGTAATCACAGCACTTTGGGAAGGCTGAGGCAGGAGGATCACTTGTGGCCATGAGTTCGGGTAACATGGTGAGAGACACCTCCCTCCTCATTCACACTGCCCTTCGAAACGGTCTTTACAAAAAACTAAAAAATTATTAAATAGCTGGGCGTATTGGCGCGCACCTGTAGTCCCAGGTACTTGGAAGGCTGAGGCAGGAGGATTGCTTGAGCCCAGGAATTTGAGGCTGCAGTGAGCTATGATCACACCACTGCACTCCAGCTAGGGCAACAGAGTAAGACCCTGTCTCTAAAAAGGACAACAACAACAAAAACCCCAAAAGCAACATACAAGCCACTTAAGTGGCTTTGTCTATGTGAAGCTATTATAAAAATAATAATTTTCAACTTTTGCTTATTATAAATGTTTATTTGGCAGAAAGATAATTGAGAAATCAGAAAGCAATATAAACATAGTAAGATATAAACAGGATAAATATCAGGTGTTCCAATATAGCAAACCCTGAAAGGAAGAACACCCTATATCAACAGCTGCTGATGTGCTGGATCCTGAGATGGCCACATTCACTCCATACCCTAGTGCTGAAGGCAGCCACTAGCAAGGACTGAACGTGACATAGGGTTGTACACTGTGGAGTCAGGAAAGCCTAGATTTGGATCATGCATCTGCCACTGAGTTTTTGTTTTCTTCTCTATAAATAGGAGTAATAAAACTCACCTCACTGATTTGCTTAAGACTCACCTGACATCATTTATAAGTGAGAAGCAGGATAAGGTAAGCAATCAACACTCTTATCTCTGACAATTTCTGCCAAGTGGCTTAGCTAGGTGGTTCTGGCTCAGAGTCTTGTGAAGATGCAGTCAAGCTGTCAGTTGGGGCTGCAGTCATGTAATTGTCTTGACTAGGGCTGAACGATCCCCTTCCAACTGGCTAACTCACATACTGAGCAAGTTAGTGCTGGATGTTGGTGGGAGGGCTTAGTTTTTGTTTGTTTGTTTGTTTGTTTTTAGCGTATTATGGGAGTACATGTGTTAAGGTTACATATATTGCCCATGCCCCCCTCCCCGCTCTAGTAAGAGCTTCAAGCATTTCCATCCCCCAAATGTTGCACATCTTGCTCGTTGTGGTTATATATACCCATCCCCTCCTCCCCCCTCCCATCTTCCCTACACCCAATAGATGTTACCCCTATATGTCCACTTAGGTGTTGATCCGTTAATACCAATTTGCTGGTGAGTACATGTGGTGCTTGTTTTTCCATTCTTAAGATACTTCACTTAGTAGAATGGGTTCCGGCTGTATCAAGGAATATACAAGAGGTGCTATATCACCATTGTTTCTTAAAGCTGAGTAGTATTCCATGGTATACATATACCACATTTTATTAATCCACTCATGAATTGATGGGCGCTTGGGTTGTTTCCACAGCCTTGCAATTGTGAATTGTGCTGCTATAAACATTCGAGTACAGGTGTCTTTTTCATAAAGTAACTTTTGATCTTTTGGGTAGATGCCCAGTAGTGGAATTGCTGGATCAAATGGTCACCCAGGTCTACTTGTATTGCTTTGAGGTATCTCCATATTGCTTTCCACAGAGGTTGAATTAGTTTGCAGCCGGTGGGAGGGCTTAGTTACTTGCCACATGGACCTCTCCCTAGGGCTGCTTGAGTGTCCACACAAGATATATATATATATATATATATATATATATATATATGATTATGGAGTAATTTATTTTAGATGGAGTCTTGCTCTGTCACCTGGGCTAGAGTGCGGTGGCATCAGCCTATCTCACAGCAACCTCAAACTCCTGGACTCAAGCTATCCTCCTGCCTCAGCCTCCCGAGTAGCTGGGACTACAGGTGCACACCACCACGCCTGGCTAATTATTATATTTTTAGTAGAGATGGGGTCTCACTCTTGCTCAGGCTGGTCTTGAACTCCTGAGCTCAAGTGATCCTCCCACTTCAGCCTCCCAGAGTGCTAGGATTATAGGTGTGAGCTACCACACCTGGCCCACACAAGATGTTAATAACAGTTGGCTTCCCCAGAGCCAGAGCTGCAAGAGAGAGCAAAGAGCAAAGCCACGTTTTTTATGACCTAGTCACAGTGTCGTTTCTAATATATCCTATTGAATACGTGGATCAGTTCTAGTCAATGTGGAAGGGTGCACAGGGTGCAAATATCTGGAGGTGAAACTCTCTGGGAGCCAGCTGGCTACCACATCAGGCCTTCACTACCAAGTTAACCCCAGCTCTGGATTACTACACCCCCATTTCCTCTGCCCTCAGATTAAGGTTACTGGGAGAAAGTTTGTAGCCTGCAGTTCCTCATTTTAGGGCTACTGAAAGAAAGTTTGTAACGTGAGGTTCCATTTTTGTTTTTTTGTTTTTGTTTTTTTTTTAGAAACAGGGTCTCGCTGTGTTGCCCAGGCTGGAGTGCAGCAGCTATTCACAAGTGTGATCCCACTACTGATCAGCACGGAAGTTTTGACCTCCATTTCCATCCTGGGCTGGTTCACCCATCCTGAGGCAACCTAGTGGTCCCCAGCTCCCTGGAGGTTGGAAACCCAATCGGCATAGTGTACTATAGCCCAAAAGTCCTTGGCTCAAGCAATCTTCCCATCTCAGCCTCCACAGTAGCTGGAACTACGAGCACACCACTGCCCTGGCAAGTTCCTCATTTTAACACCACCAAAACAAAGTGTGAACATTTATCCTCAAAGAGGGATATGGGCTTTCTCCACTCTAAAGTTAACTCTTCCACCTATGCCTAAAGTTCCAACCTTCCCAGCTCAGTTCTCCTAGGAGCACCTTGCTGTGGTGCAGCTTCAATCTAAGGAACCCCTGTGCCTGCCCCCCCCCCTCCACCCTGCCCCAGCTCTCTGATCATTTGACTAATGCCTCTTTCTACTCCTATATCTCTTCTAGAACACCTGTTTGGGATGGACTTTGGACATTCCGTGTGACTCAACCCTCTAATGTTTATGTACTTTTAATTTCTATGACTTAGCATAACTGACTCATTGCAGCATGTGTGTGTTTTGCTTCCTTCTCAGAATGGTGGTTCAACTGATTCATATAGCTAGGTATCACCCAAATGTCCCTTAGCAACTTTGCTTTGTACTCTCCTCAAATTCATTTCTTTTACATATGCCCAGTTCTTCCAGTAAAAAACAATAATAAGCATATTTCCAAACAAGGTCACAAAGAAAAATAAAATAAAAGAATAAACAATAACGCTAAACAAGGGTGATTAATAATCAAACCAAAAAAGCTCCACCTCTAGTTACCTGAGTAATCCCTTCCCTTTCCTTGTCAATCCTCTAAAATGAATGATCTATAATCAGTTGTTCTATTTCTTTACTATTCATACTTGATATCTAACCTTTCATTCTGAGAAAACTGCTCTAGCAAGTGAGTTGGACTATCAGACTGTATATATGAGAATTTATTGACTTAGGGGCACACTCTCAGGATACAAGGTTTAGCATCCTGGTGCAGTTCAGGGGATGTTACACAGTTGCTCTAGGGTGACTCCCCAAAGCCTGGAAAAGTGATGGCTCATGAAGAGTGAGGTTGAAATGCCTAAATTTCTGTGTCAGGAAGTAGAAGAAAGGATTAGAAAACTCAGAAAAGTGGAAATGCTGAAAAAGATATATCTTAGTCCAGAACACCCACCAGAGGATTATGCCCCACAGGATGGCTCAAGGAGCCACATTCATCAAGGCTATCGGGAACGCAGGGGTGAGAGGGATGCCAGCAATGCCAAGAGTTCAGTGGCGCTTTCCCCACTAGGACATAAGTGATGGGAGGAGAGGTCCTGGACTTGGCTCTCTGATAGCAATGGGTTTGACAAGGCCCTTGCTTGTCACCAGAGGATGGCACTTAAGGGCAGAATGTAGTTTGCTCTTAGGGGTTTATAAGGACAAAATCAGAGTGGCAGCCAATGGGACCTGACCTATAAAGAGTTTGAGATTGTGACTAGAACAGAATTTCTCTAGGAAAAACATAGGTAGTCAACAAAATACATATGGTCTCAAACTCAGGATTTTCCTACCTTACTATGGTGTGAAAATGGTATGCATTTGGTAGAAACTGCACTTTGAATTTTGATCTTTTCTCAAGTTAGTGATATACAGTACTATACTCTCTTGTGATGCCGGGCAGCAGCAGCGAGCCACAGCTCTGTCAGCCACATGAGTAAAAAATATTGTACTCTACAGTGTACTGAATTCAATAAGTTATATGAGATATCCAGTACTTTATTATAAAATAGGTTTGTGTTCAGGGATTTTCCTTCAACTGTAGGCTAATATAAGTGTTCTGAATGTGTTTAAGCCTCTCCTATGAATGGGGTTCCATATAACCAGCTAAAGGAGGAAGGAAAAAGGCAAAGCTTGGGTTATGGATGGGTTAGCTCAGTGTGTGAGTACAAGCTGAAAATGGATGGCAGCTGTATTACAGTCTCACTCAGGGAAGCCCTTGAGAAACAGTGGTGAGGGAAAATCTCCCCAATGGGAGGAGCTTTGAGATGTGCACATGGTCATCCACTTTGTATGGATGGAGAACGGCCCAGGGTTAGAACACATGTGGACTCATGGGCAGCGATAGTGGTCTGGCTGAAGGAATGGGAACCTACAAGAAAAAGTTTGGAAAATCAGAGACAAGAAGGTCTGGGGTGGAGGAATGTGGGTGGAGATATGGAAGTGGCACAAGTGGGAAGTTGTTTGTATCACATGTTAAGGCCTACAAGTATCTACCACACATGATGTGTCAACTAGACAAAATAACTTGGCCAGTTAATGTTGGCCAGCCTTTGTGAAAAGCCCCAGGCCCCAGTGCTACATGGTGGGTATCTGAACAAAGAGGCCATGGAGGCAAAGATGAAAGTGATGTCAGAACCTAATAGCATAGACTGTCACTTGCCAAAATGAATATAGCTACTGCCACCTCTGAATGTCCAATCTGCCAAGCATAAAGACCAGTGCTAAGCTCTCTTCCTTAAGGAGACCAATAGGCTACTTGGTGACCAGTAGACTACATTGGGTCTCTGGGGCCCTGGAGGGGCCAGTGGTTTGCTCTCACAGGAATAGGCACTTATTCAGGATGTGGGGTTTCCTTTCCTCCCTACAGGGCCTTCGCATCACCACTCTCTGGGACCTTAAGGATTGCCTGATCCACATACATGGAATTCTACATAGCAGAGCACCTGACCAATGACTCCCCCCGTGACACAGGAAGTGGAGGGGATGAGCACACGAACATGAGATCCACCAGTGGTATCACACACCTCACCATCCAGAAGCTACTGGATGAAGTACTGGAATGGCCAGTTAAAGATGGAGCTGAGGCACCAGCATGAAGGTGTCACACTACAACAATGACATATCCCCCAGCACCTCATAGTATATGCCTCGAATCAGACAAGTTAGTATGGTGCTGTGTCCCCAGCAGAAAGTATATATAGGTCTAGAAAGAATTAGCAGAAGCCTGAGTGGCCCCACTTACCATCCTTCTAATGACGCACTAGGATTTCCTGCCCCACAAAACTGGGATCTGCTGAGTTAGAAGTCCTGGTTTCCAAAAGGGGCACTCTCTTGTCTGAAGACACAGGAGAGATCCCACTGGACTACAGTGATGGCTGTGACCAGGTACTTTGGCCTCCTAATGGTCAGAGAGTAGCAGATAAGAAAAGGAATGGCCATCTTATCAGAGGTAATTGATGCTGGTAGGCAGAAGGAGATGGGGTGCTGTTACCCGGTGAGGGTGGGTAGAATATGTGTGGAATTCTGTTGACCTATTTGGGTGCCTTTGGGTACTCATTTGCCTGACTCCTTTGGCTATGAATGGACAAGACAAGAGCAGCAAGCCTAGCCTGAGAATGTGCTCAGACCCCTTACAAATGAGGGTCTGGGGCACCCAACCAGGTGAGCTACTGGGAGGAGTTGAAGCGGGAGGAATTTGAATGGATAGTGGTGGAGAGACATGATGAAGACCAGTTGTGGCCTTGAGGCCAATTGCAGTGACAGGAGCTAAGGGGTTCATTCCATTATCTTTGCTCTTATAAGTTTTCTGAGAGGAAGAGTGGCCCTGAAAGAGCTGTTCCCTGAATACAAATGGTACAAAGGGTGGACTACAGCTGACACAGGGTGGCACTCAGGTCCCCTTTAATCCAGGGCTTGCTGTCCAACTTCAAGGAATATGCCTAGCTGATAGCCTTCAGCTTTGGCTTCTTTAGGATACATCACAGCATCTGAGCTGAAGTCACCCATTTCTTGGGTGGCCCTACCAATGACTGAGCAGTGGTAGAAGGGCCTAGCCTTTTCTTCCCAAAGCTGGACTTCTGCTCCAGAGCATCTTATTGCGCTGGTGGAGACTGTAACAGAGGAAACAGCCTAGAAAAGGGTAAAAATGTTTTACAAGCTGTCTCTTTAAAACCTTTCCTACTCTTTTTTGGGAAAAGAGGTTAGTGGTCAAAGCCAGTGGTCAGAAGGGATAAGAGAATATCCTTTGTTCTTTGTGTCACAGGAAATGGCTCAATGGAATTGTTCAAGGAGAAGGTCACCAGATTGTCTTCCCTGGAGATGGGATAGATGAGAACCATCAACTGTAGTTAACAGTTGCCTGAGGCTGAACACCCCTCACCCCCTTTAAAAGCTCTATATTTCTGCTTATAGATAGGAAAATGGTACTTTAAGATGGGAGTCTGACTTTTCTTCATTTGCTGGCAAATTAATAAGCCTGCCTTTCCTTCTCCTCAAGCACTTGTCCTTGTTCTTCTGATGTAGGCTGGGGGACAAGTGCTGAACTTTCAGTAACAAGACTTTGTCAGGTCTGTATTCAAGTCTGACAGCTCCCTCCGCCCAACTATGCTTCTTCCCTTGACTTTCTCTGGTGTTACACCCAGGAAACCTTCTGCCCTCTTAACTCTGTTCCACGGTGGGCAGGTCTATGCAAACCTACCCCTAAAGTCTGAGGAAGCTGAGAGGCTGAAGAAAGAGGCTGACATATCCAGCTTCTCAGGAAGAAACATTTAATAGCGACTTACAGAATCCATGTCCTGGGAAGCCATGAGACAGTTGGATCCCCGAGCCACTACCCCCAGACCTAGGGTTTATATACCACAGGGACAAAGTTGACCCCTCAGAGAAAGGCAAGAATGCTCTGTGCATCTGCCTGAGTCGACATCTAGGGGCATTCCCAGAAGAGCGGTTAATCAGCATCCAGGATGGAGTTGCTTTGGCCTCCACAATTCCACATCCAGATCTCCTTCCTGGAGAACCTATCTGTGAGAGCACACATTTCAAAATTTCCCATGATGTCTCCTTTTTCCTTCCCACAACTCCTTAAATCATTTTTTATGGCTTTAAGTTGAGGGTGATTTTACAGCTGTACTCCAACCACTCTAGCCAGACTGGACTCTTCATTTCTAATCTTTTGTATACCTATTGCAGCATTTAACCACCCATTCTCTAATATTTCAATTTTTTTTCATGTCTTCCCAAACACCTGCTCCTTGAGTGCAGGGACTGTTTCTTAAACTTCTGCATGTTCAGAGTGACTGACTTCTTCTGTAAGGACCACAGAGAAGATAGTCAATAAACATGTTGGACTTAGTTGATTTGATAATGAAAGGTCCCTGGGAACCTGTCAGACCACAAAGAAGGCCAAGTGGATTAAAAGACAACTCTATAGCAACAGCCAGAGGGAATGAGAAGTCAGATGATTCTATGTGGGCCCCACATTTGGCTGGTTTCCATAACAAAGTACTCTATTGCTGAAAGACACAGTTCATCTATCATGAATGACCACACGAAAGAAGAATTCTCATTATTTTTTTAAAAATTCTGATTTGGCAACCAGATTCTATTATTTTTTTAAAAAGTATTTTTCCTATCTTATCAATGATACATTTACTTTATTTGGCGGTGCTGGGAGGAAAAACTTTTTCCTCTTCCAAGTCATGTCCTGTATTTGGGGACCTACACATTAACTGGCAATAGACAGATTAAGGAGAAAAGACAAAGTGTACACATGCCAAGAAGGAGCTTCCAGGAACAGAAAATACATGGAATAGTCCAAAGCAAAGGTTTCTATATCTCAATTTAACAAAAGGGAGGTTTTTAGGGCTTCCGTAGGAGAGAACAGAAGGTTCCACTTGGCTTTTTGATGCTAATGGTAGCAGGACGTCCGTCTCCCTGGCACTGAATACTCTGAAAGGCGGTTAAGGCACTTATATATATTTTCTGAGGTTCTGCTTTACTCGGGCACAGGAAGTTCAAATCAGATTTCTCTCAACATCTTCGGTAGCTCAAATGATTTCACTTAAAAACAATCTTTATGCCAACTCTGGGGGTCCGAGTGGGTCCCCAGCGGGACAAGGTCTTGTCCAAATATCTAGAGAGGAACCGATCTGAACTCTTGGGTTATGTCCAGGCATGTCCGTCGGTGACTTCTTGCTATTAGGGGATTAAGCAGTGGTCTGGGGCCCCAATGTTAGCCGTTATACGTAGGCAAGAATGGGCCAAGAAGTGGTTCTTCAGAAAGCCCATGGGAATGCAAAAAAAAGAGGGAGAATAATGAACGTTGTTTCTTGAGAGGGCACGTTGAAAGTTGCACATCGGTTCTGGACCAAGTGGACCGTGATTTTAGACTGTGGGAACCTCAGTGACATCCGGGCTCCACCTGATGGCAGGGCGTGTTTGTTCAAGTTACTTCCTCAAGTACAGAGCGAGGGCAATACCTAACTCGCGCAGTCGTTGCGAAGGTTCACTGACACAGGAGGCAGAGCGCTTCTTTCCGGGAACTGGCGGGCTGGGGACTAGAAGACTTCCTCAGTAGGGCGCTCAGGGCTTGCGTCGCCCGCCCCTTTCGACGGGCTTATATAAACTCCAGCCGCGACCCAAGATCATTCTAGTTTCTCTTCTTTCCGAAGAAGCCTCGCGGAGCCCAGCGAAGGAACCTCACCCTCGCCGAGCCTAGAACCGGGAGGGAGGAGGCCAGCGGGGCGTCCCCGGCAGATTTGCCCGCGCTCCTTCCCTTCCTTTCCACCCGACTGCCGTCGCAGCTGACTTTCCATCTGACGCAAGGGCCCGGCGGGCGAGAGCTGACCTCTCCACCCGAGAGCCGAGCGGGAAACCGAAACCGCGCGGCCCAGCTAACGGCGGCGCAGGGCGCGCCCAGCAGCAGCACCGCCCGCGCGCGCCTCCCCCGCACCCCCTCCCGGACACTTGTAAGTTTCGATTCTCCTCCCCGCCGAGTCCCGCGCCCCGGAGGAGCCTGCACGTCGCGCGCGCCATGGCGGACCCGGAGGTGTGCTGTTTCATCACCAAAATCCTGTGCGCCCACGGGGGCCGCATGGACCTGGACAAGCTGCTCGAGAAGATCGTGCTCCCCGAGGCGCAGCTCCGCGACTTGCTGGAGCAGGCCGGGCCCGACCGCTTCGTAGTGTTGGAGACGAGCAGCAGTGCCGGGGTCACCCGGACCGTGGTGGCCAACACTCGAGCCCGGGTCTGCCGTCGCAAGTACTGCCAGAGACCCTGCGATAACCTGCATCTCTGCAAGCTCAATCTGCTCGGCCGGTGCAACTATTCGCAGTCGGACCGGTGAGTGCACCGGGAGGGAGGGGCGGCTCCCGCGGCCCGGGTCCCGGCGGACGGTTGAGGCAGCTGCTGGGGAGGGGCGCGCCCTCGCCGGGACCCAGCACCTGACGGCCTCTCCCTCCAGCTGCGCCCTTCTCTGCTCCCCTTGGGGCGCCCCTGCGGGCCCGCGCGTCTACCCTTTCCTTTCCCTTCCTTCTAGCACCTCCATACCTTTCCTTGAACTTGGCTAAAGCTGCAGTGCCTGGCGGAGACCAGGCTAAAGCCCCACCACCCCACCCCCGCCCGCAAGAATCAGAAGAGTAAAGTACGTTGGTGCAAGCCAGGGCCTAGAAAAGTTGGAGGCAGGTTTGAGAACGACAGCAATGCCTCCAGATACTCTCTGGTATCTCGAGCCCTTCCCTCTCCACTGCCTTCTCCCCTTGACGTGTCGTGGTCTTCCCCGCACCCCAGCGGCGCCCGGCACCCCGCTCCGCGTCCACCGCGGCGCGCTGCGGTCTCTGCCTGGCTCTCCCTTTCCTCGCCACCGTCGTCCCTCGTCCCCACTTTCCTGCTGTCTGGCGCCGGTCCGCACACCTGCCTGGACCGGTCCTCTTCAAGGTCGCCGGAGATGTGGCAGCCTGTCCCGGCGCTCCTTCCGCGTGTCTCTCCGCGGGGGCCCGCGCCGTCGACCACCGCCTCGTGGGACCGCGCTCGGCTTAAAGTAGTGCAGCTTACATCCCAGGGGGCTGCTTCTCTGTTTCCATTTGCCCCCCTTTTTTTTGTGCCACAAATTCAGGTATGCTATAAGGTTTCGGCTGAGCCTTTCGATGCAGCTGTCTCCCAGGCCCCCTCCAGGCGCGCTCCCGCCCGGGGTCCCGCTGTCACATCCAGCAAGATGGCCTCCGCGCGCCCTGCGCGGGCCTCTGCCGGCCGGGGCGTCGGGTCTGCGGGCCGCGCCGACATCCTGTCCACGCCCGGCAAGCTCAGCATCTTCCCGCCTCCCCGCCCCCGCGGGGTCTCTGGCCCTTTCCCCAGCCACTTAATCCTTCTCCTCCTCCACAGTATGTTCATCACCAAGTCCTTTTTGCGGAGTCTTTTCATTCCCTCTCTGACCAGTTCCTCCCTCCCATTTCTGAATGAATGAATGCCGCCTTGAATTAATGAATGCTTCTCTCAGGCCTTAGTTTTTCCTCCCATCTTCTCTATCCCTATGTACTGTTGCTCAATTATTTTTCTCAATAATTTTCGCACTTTGTCCATCCTTAAAAAGTTTAAGTGGTGTCCCAGTGTCCAAAATGATAGTCATCAAACTTCTGATCACGCACTCAACAGAAAAACTCTGTCATTCATCCCCAATATGTGTGTAATGAAACACAAAAGACCAGTGTTTTAAGTGGATTAGATAATATATTTTTTAAAAAATTTATCTGTTTAGAGCAAAAATCCTTTTTGATCAGTCTAAAACTTAAAGGAAAAGTGCATTCTTGATGTTTCCTTATTTAAATATTTAATATGGAGTGAGGCAACAATTTGAAAATCTGTGTCTGTGCCCTGGAAAGGTTTGTGTATAGAGGGAGTCATCTAAGTCACTGACAACTGAAGAAATCAGGAAAGAGGGAAAGAAAAATGGGGGTGGAGGAGAGAAAAGGGAGGAACATTCTAGCACTGTACTGAATAACAACAGGGTTGGAAAGATTGTTTTCTTTTTCTGTTCTTATCTGTTAAGAAAAATTTCTCACCAACTAGTGTCGGCTTTTAGTTTTAAATGCATATGCTTTTTATCTTTTAATTTCTTACTATGGATATTTTCAACCTACTCTAAAGGAGAAAGAGGGAAATGATGAATCGCATGTACCCCTCATTTCATTTCAACAGTTTTCAAAATATGGCCAGTCTTCTTTCATTTATTTTCCCCTCTCTGTCCCTATCCCCAACCTCAACGTGTTATTTTAAAAGCAAATCATGTCGCTCATTTGTTTTGTAAGTACTTTAGTATCTCTAAAAGATAAGGACAATATTTTATTAACATGATACAGTACAATGATCACTGTTTTCAAAAAAATCACAATTTTATTGTCATCTAATATCAAGTTGGTGTTCAAATTTCTTTGATTGTCTTGTAAATCCAATTGGTATTTTCAGGAAAAAGAAAACCTATACAGGCTGGGCATAGTGGCTAATGCCTATAATCTTAGCACTCTGAGAGGCCAACGCAGGTGAATCGTTTGAGCTCAGGAGTTGGGAGACCAGCCTGAGCAAGAGCCAGACCCCGTCTCTACTAAAAATGGAAAGAAACTAGCTGGACGACTAAAAATATATAGAAAAATTAGCCAGGCATTGTGGCGCATGGCTGTAGTCTCAGCTATATAGGAGGCTGAGGCAGAAGGATCGCTTGAGCCCACGAGATTGAGGTTGCTGTGAGCTAGGCTGACGCCACGGCACTCTAGCCCAGGCAACAGAGTGAGACTCTGTCCTGAAAAACAAACAAATCAACTAAAAACCTATGCAGACATAATTCATAATTGTTTCGATTTGATATGTTATATACTTGGTATGTTTAGAAACTTTGTTTCAACCTATTATATACACAATACGTTTAGAAATTTAGTTTTAGGCGGGGCATGGTGGCTCATGCCTGTAATCCTAGCACTCTAGGAGGCCGAGGCGGGCAGATTTCTCAAGGTCAGGAGTTCAAAACCAGCCTGAGCAAGAGCAAGACCCCATCTCTATTATAAATACAAAGAAATTAATTGGCCAACTAATATATATAGAAAAAATTAGCCGGGCATGGTGGCGCATGCCTGTAGTCCCATCTACTCAGGAGGCTGAGGCAGGAGGATCGCTTGAGCCCAGGAGTTTGAGGTTGCTGTGAGCTAGGCTGATGCCACGGCACTCACTCTAGCCTGGGCAGCAAAGCGAGACTCTGTCTCAAACAACAACAACAACAAAAAAGAGAAATTTAGTGTTATGATTGTATTATGGTATATTTTTGCCTGGTTTCAAACATCACCCTTTTAAACTCATTAACTGGGCTGTTAACCTGCATTTTTCTATATTTTATAAGAGTATATATGATATAGGGATTATTTGGTCTATACAAGTTTGGACAGACCTTTTAGATAATTCATTAATTTTTTTTTAAGTAGAGCAATAAAATTTTATTTCATACATTTATTGGTCTAGCCATATTTTAAATTTCCTTTTATATCACTTTTGAATTTGGTAATTACAAACTTTTAATTCGTTAATGAATAAATTATGCTAACAAGGACCTCTGAAAGAATTTTTTTTTCCCCTCAGAGCCTAGAAGATACTCTTCCTCACCCTGAGTGTACTTTTTAAATATTCTCCTCTTAGCAACTTATAAAACTTTCTCTTCCAAAACTTCCCACTTGTGAGTCTGAGGACTTTCTTGGTGGATTACTGGTTAATGGGGTCCAATTGATACCCATGTTGAGGTTACTATTCAGTTCAGTAAACTGGTCTCTGTGTTGTGACAATTTATATTTTGCTGGACTTACAAAATTTCGTCTATAGTACTATAATTTTTTTTTTATTCTTTGGAAAATTTGTTCTTTCCTTGACATCCTCCCTTTTTTAAAAAATTTTAATAGATTTAGGGGCTACAAGTTGAATTCCATTATATGTATATATTGAATAGTGGTACAGTCTGGGCTTTTGGTGTACCCATCACCCCAGTAGTATATGTTGTACCCCATAAGTACTTTTTCATCCTTCACCCTCTCCCCCCTCCCCCCTTGTGAGTCTCCAATGTCCATTATACCACTCTGTGTGCCCTTGTGTAGCCATAGTTTAGCTTCCACTTATAAGTGAGAAATGCAGCATTTATTTTTCTGTGCCTGAGTTACTTCACTTAGGATCATGGCCTCCAGTTCCATCCAAGTTGCTGCAAAAGACATTATTTCATTTTTCTTATCAATGAGTAGTACTCAATGGTATATATATACCATATTTTTTTTATCTACTCATCAGTTGATGGACACTTAGGTTGATTCCATGTCTTTGCAGTTGTGAACTGTGCTGTGGTAAATGTATGAGTGCAGGTATCTTTTTGATGTAATGATTTCTTTTCCTCTGGGTAGATACCCAGTAGTGGGATTGCAGGATCGAACGGTGGATCTACTTTGAGTTCTTTGATAAATCTCCATACTGATGTAGTACTATAATTTACAGATGGAATTTCTCCTTTCTCTTCTGTGGTTCCTGTCTTTCCTTTTGTGATGCTTTTAGTTATACATTTTAGTCAACAACAGGGCTTGCTTCAGTATTGGACAATTATTTCTCTTGGTACATTGCTTTGGATATTTCTATTTGCTTTGCTGAAATATATGCCCATACATGGAGTTTAATTCCAGTTCTGACATAAAAATAATCACCATTTATTGACTATGATAAGCTGTTTAGAGATAATATCCAAGTTAGTGTTTATCATAGCTTCTGAGGTAGGTATTATAAGGCCCATCATTAATGTAAAGAATCTCAGGTGTAGAGCTCTTTAGAAATTTACTGAAGGTCATATAGCTAGTAGCTAGCAGAGTTGGTATTTGAACCCAGATTTGCATGCCTTCTTAACTATCTACTTCCATTGTCCAGTAGCTATATGAGGTTATTAATTCAAGTTTTATTTTTATTTTTTGCAAGCATGATTTCTGTTTAACTGTTTAAAGCAGGCCGTCTTCTACTTGCTTTGTGGTTTCTGCCAATGTGGGTGTTTCCTCTGGGTTCTTTCCTGTTTGTGTGCCTTTCCCTTTTGGTTAATTGAAACTCTGGGTGGGGGTGGGTAGATGGGAAGAGGACTAGTTGACTATTTCATAAATTGAAAAACATACTGAAAAGCACAAAGAATAATACAATAAGCATTAGAGTATATATACTCTGAATATACAACATAAATTATATTACATAAAAGGATATGTAATATAATAAGCTTATAACTCAGAATGAATAAATATTTACATTTTTCAATTTGGCTTCTTCTCTTTTATTTTTTTATTTTTTATTTT